ATTGAAAGAAAATGAACAATTGTATGTACTTTTCACTATTGGGGCTGTTTGTTTACTTTTTCCATTCCATTCACTTCGGCCATTGATAGCAGACTTTTGGGGGATTTTTGGGGTCTATAGACTTCACTGTTCACTTGCTATGTGCTAGCACAATGCTCATCTGGGCTTGGTTTTCTAACACTGCAGAGGAATGTTCAATCCCTTGGCCTTCTCTCCTCTTGGCAGCAGTTTTCATTTAGGGCCTGATCCTCGAGTTCGCTCTGCCCTCTTTGTACAGCACCAATGGCACAAAGGGTATGGTGCTGACAGCTCGGGATTCCATTGGCAAGGGGAAGCCTTGCCAGGTTTACTCCACCAGTTCCTGGCCCAAAGCCCACATGGGGGTTCAAATATGGAGTTTGCTTTTCTCCAACTATCCTGGGCCAACAGAACAGCCCTAAATGGGTCATTATTGAGGTTGCTTGAATTTGTTATATGGACTGAAATGACACGCCAGCTGCCTCCAGGGTTGAGTGGAGGGGTGGAAGAAAGGTAGCAGAAAGCCACTTACGCTGGCTCTTACTTTTATCCACGCCTCTCAAAGGAAAAAGAGAGACTATTTCTATTTATATTAAATAGTTTTTTAAGCAACCATATTTTGGAATTGTGGCACATTGAAATACTACTGCATTTTTTTACTCCTGTATGCTGAACTCAACAGACATAAAACCTGCTTTCACTTCACAGAGGCACTGAAAACTCCATTTTTGTGTTTCTATAATAAAAATTTTTTTTTGAAGTATTAGGGGGATACTGAATTTTAGAGCCTGATCCTTTTAGCTGCTGTGAATTCCACACATGGAGCCTCTTCAGCATGGGGCCCGGAGATGCTTCAATGTACAGAGAGACACTAACTCCCATTCAGGCTGCTGAGCATGTCACAGGTTTGGGCCCTACATTTGTAATTGACATGTTGCCATTCTGAACTAAACTTTTATTCCCATTTCTAGGTGGTCCCAGCCTCTTGAAGTTTTAATAAACCTACTTGTGGCAAATATTACAAGGCATGATAATCTCTTGTTTAAATTAATTATCCACTGATCTTTTATTCTTTTTGGCCAGCAGGTCTTACACACCCATTCAAAATCATGTCACACTGAGATAAATAGGGCCAGACCGTCCTCTGTGTAAAATCAAGATAGCTCTACTGGAGACAGTGACTGGAGCTATGCCAAATGCACACCAGCTGAGGATCTGGCCTAAGGGGTTTTGTAAAACAGGCAAACTATTTTCACTAGTTAGCTGAGATCAAGAGCCCAAAATGCTTTTCCTTTAAGAAATTTGCTGAAGAAAGAACATAAAAATGCCACTTGCGCTGCATTGTTGTGGTTGCATTTCAGTGTTGCAGAGAGCTAGCACAGAAGAGGATGTATATTTATCTGACAAACATGATTTACCATTCAATGTTAAGCTTTTATTTAACATTAGGTTCTATAAACATGTGAAGTGTATCCATTAAATGGCTGTTCTGATGTTCTCTTGATTTTAGGATACATGCACATTAAAGCATACATGGTGGAGAGGTTATTATGGACTCTGACTTTGAAGCACCATTACACGCATGTACTGGGAGCCATAGTCACCTGCTTTAAGCTATGCAGAGCTGCATGTACATTTCATTTGAAACTGTTCTCTATGAAGAGTACACTGATCGATTTGCTATACATCAACGTTCTGTGTGTAGTAAATTGCACTTTAAAGAAATGCAAACCACTTGTTAGAGAACTGCTGTTTCTCCTGTCACTGAGTGAGTATCATGGATGTGAAGAGTTCCCCACTTACACTCTCACTAATTCTGGAGCACCTACCCCATGAAAAGTAGTACTGAGGTGGCAATGTGTAAATAACAGTGCTGTAGCACAGGGATATTCAGACTTCAGTGGTCTAGGAGCCAAATTAGCATCAACATTACCCAAAAGAGCCACAGTAGTATGAATTCATGGCTTCAGTTACTATTTTTATATATTATTCTCACAACAAAATGACTGACCAAGTATTATTTTATCAACTACAATTGGTTAATAACATAGTAAAAGCATCCTGATTGGTTAATAACTTAGACTGATTAATAATTAAATCACACAGAGTTTTAATATCATGTGCTGCAAAGAGTATAATATAACAGTTGTGGCTCACGAGCCTCAGTCTGAGTATCACTGGTCTAGAACATCATCTTAAAGGTGATTCAAAGAGTTTTATACAGAGCGAGGTGAGGAACAGACCATCTTATCAGACACTAAACGGGATAAAAGTATTCCCCCTATAGCATGCTATTAAAAAAATGGAATCTCATTGAATACCTGGATCTCAATGATGCTAATATCTAGAAAAACAAGAGCCCATGATCTTAGGCCTCATATATAATGGCAGTTTAAGTATTGTAGGAAAAGGATGATAGCATTTAAGACACATAGGGTCAAATTAATCAATCTGGTAAATTTGTGTAACTCCATTAAGTCAATGGAATTACACTGGTGTAATTAAGAGGAGAATTTGATGCATACAATTCATATACCTGCAATACATTTGAGAATACATTTCCTGAATTTGTGAACCATACCACTCCTCCATACCTGAACAAAAATATAATTCTGAAATGTATACGTCTCAAATTGCTATATCATTGATATTCAATAATATAGCTGTTTTGCTTTACTAATGTTAACCCTAAAGCAGTGATGAGGCAAAATAGGATGCCATGAGTGGAGAAAGCCATCGTGACTTTGATACCATCCCATTCCTTTATTTTCAAGCTCTTAGAAACACAATGTTTAAGTGTGTATTAGGGCCAGTCATAGGGTGTCTCTGTAGACCTCTCTGTTCTACTGATGTTGGAGAGGCCTCACCCACTGGAAGGTAGGTCTTTCTGAATTTCCCAATGAAAGTTTTAAGATGGATAGGCCAGCTCTATATAGGCGTCACACATAAAAAAAGAAACTAGGGAAGAGTGGGGATAGTGAACATGAGATGGTATGAAGGAGAACAGAAAGCAAAAAGGGAGGAAAAGAGAAATAGGGAGATGATGAAAAGGAGGAAAGAGAATGGAGAGGCAAAAGAGTGAAAAAAGAGAGCTTCAAAAAAGGAAGTAATACACAGAAAAAGAGAAACTATAGAGAAAACTAGAAGAAAAAGACCCATGTAGCAGTGAAGAAAGATGCAGAAGGCAGAAAAAGAGAGAGAATGCAATCAGAGAAAAGTAGAAAGGTGTTAGACATAAAAAGATGGGGAATAGATAAGATAGAAAGATGGTCAAAATTCCCCCATTTTTCAACAACTATAGGGCTGAATTTCAGATTTTGAAATTTTTACAAAATTGAATATTGAAAAAATTAGGATTTAAAAATAATTCACAAAATTGTTCCTCTGTTTCTAATAGGAAGGAGAGAGGAAGAGCAAAAAGGTCTGGCACCATTCAGTTCTTCATTCCTCTTCTCAGAGAGATGACAGATGGGTTGGGTGCTTTTTAATATAACTAAATATAGGTATAGAACCAGAGCAAATGTGTTTCAATTACAGACAAGTGTGCACATAATCACCAAAAAAGAGCTCAACAAAGCTTTGTAATTTTCCCTTCCAATACTATTGACTCTAACAGCTGGAACCACAATTAATATTAACAAGCCTTAACTCAGCAGCTAGGAAATGCAAAAAGGTGCTGTGTACATTATTACTGGAACAAATTTGTTGTCTTGTAATCAGTCATCATAAACCCTTCAACTAACGTTTTTCCCCATTGAACCTGTACTGTATTGAATTGTCTTGGTATTAATAATTTATTTCTGGTGCTTTACCTTGCAAAACCATCTCAAAACAATACCAGATACTTTAATGGTATATTATATTTGCTCCTCTAGTCTTCTTGGCCATACAAAACAAGTAGAAGTGCCTTAAGCTAAAAGCCAACATCTTTATGAAAACCACTAGTGCTTTTGCCCTTGCTGTATGATGTACCTTTTACAGTCATGTTTACATGAAGGGTATACCACTTTGGAGGAGAGGATTCGTGGGGGAGGTAGGATGCATCACAGATGGTTATGGTACATTATGGGAAATGTTCAGATATGAAACTTGTGCTCAAGTCTATCTCTGCAGGGACCCTTTGAAATATAGAACAGCGATGTGTTTGCTCAGTGGTTGTTTCAGTTACTTATCGGTAGAGATTTCTACCCCTACAGCACATTTCTGGAAGTGCGCCACTACCAGAGCTGAAAGTTGTAGACTGTTACCAACTAATGACAGTGGTAAAAAAAGAGTGGCAGGTTCAACTGTTAGCCTGACCGGACGGAATGGATCACAGTATGCACAGCTTTTCACCTTCAAGTCACTGGTTCAAATCTAACCCATTTTGTTACCAACTGAAAACTGTCACATTATGACTGTTCAGTGGGTTATGTGAAATGAGGTGAAATTCAGTTCCTCGTGGACCTGTTTCTCCATCATCACAGTTTGCATTACTTGGTTCTTTCAAGAGAAAGGCCAAGGACTGAACAAGCATGGAGACAGAGCTACTTTCTCAACCCAATATGCGCTCTCTCCAGGACAAATTTGAAGCACTATGGTGGCGGGGGTGTGAGAAAACTTGCAATGCCCCTACTCAGGACATACTGCTTGCTAGCTAAATCATGAATTCTTTTTCCAAAGGCTGTCTTTCCAGCAAGCAAATTCACTCACATATTTAAATACTGATTGGGACTGAAAAGCCAAAGAGTCTATGATACGACATAAGTAACTGAATCAACATGTTCTAGGGAGAGCAGAAGGTTGGAGGAAAACAATATCTGATTTGACCTATATTCAGAAAGGGGTAAAATAAAACATTTTGTTGTCTAGAAAACATTCTAATTATTAGCCTAGGACACTTCTGAAATGTCCTTGTTTTCAGTCTGTATTCATAATGAAGATGTTTCTCTGTCCTTTCTTCTTCCCTTCCCCATTTGTCCTTGAACTTGTGATCACCCAAGGAAACCACTGAGAAAAGAAGAGAATGGAACAAGTCGAGCTGAATATGCAATGACGTCCTCCCAGAACAACAAAACAGTTGATAATGCAGTAGTATAATCCCCAGGACCCCCACAAGACATGGGAGGTGTTAAACTTTAAAAGCACACACACAAAGTATGCAAGGTGGGTGAAATAAGGAAATGAAAGGAGCTCTGTGGCCATGGACTTCATTTCGGGAATAGTGCACGTATCAGTTATTCAGAGAAGAAAAGCAGACTGCTCTTCAGCCTTGCTGATTGTCAAAGGGAAGATAAACTTGCCAATCAGGGCTACCCAGAAAAAAAGACCTCACAAAGGCATAATCACTGCATGCCACATCTGTTGAAAGCAACATCATGATGCCTCCAGCTTCTGTTTTTTCCCCCTCTCTTTATTTTTGATTGTCCACAAAGAGCTGCTTAAATAGGGTTCTTTGATGTGAAGGTGATATGTCAGAGTTGCAGCAACTTATTATAAATGGGTCTGAGATTCAGAGGGTGGAAGTCTTGACCTGCATGCTTCCCCAGCTTGTGCAGTGTTTTCTTTTACAAGCTAGAAGCTTCATAGTCTCAATTAACTATTATTTTGTTATTAGAAGGAAAAGGGTTTCCGTTAATCCACCAAGCAACCAAAAATTGCATGAATTTGTGAGTTAACCCAGGAAATACAGCTGCAGTCTGGTGACTATGCAATTTCCATGGCTGAAGACTTTTCAAACAAAAGAAGTCAAAGTATGATCATTGGCAATTAGCATAGTTTATTAAAGATAAGATAATATTAAAGGTGATTTGAACACTTTCTTCATAATCAACCTCTATTTTCCCCTGCATATCCTTTATTTCCTAGCCTTAAACAAGTTCTAGATTTCTCCTCCTCATGACGTTCTGCACATTTACTGTATTTGCACCACACAGATCCATCAGAGAATCCCTCTAGAAAGGATTTTGTTTACAGTTTGGAGTGAATATTTGGGCTTGACCATGTTGAAAGGACTAGCAGCACTGGAAACTGAAGTCCTCCTTATCTATCCACTGATCAGCTGCTGGGGCAGAAAACAAGTGTCATTTCCTGAAGGTTTCTCATTTCCTGAGCTGGCCCACCAAGGACTTTGTAGGCCTGACTTAGAGGACTATTTACTAGTGACTAGTAAATCGATGTGCCCGTGTTAGCTCAGTCCTCTGCATTTCCTGAGCAGAGACTGCCAATTGTGCCAAATTCTATGTGATAGCTTTGTGTTGTACCTTTTTGTGACATGGATTGCAGATTATTAAAAGTGAAGCTGAATCCACCAGACTCATTTCACTTAGGATCTCAGGTTAGACTTAATCAGTAATCCCCTAGGGTAAAGGCCAGTGTTTAGTCTACAGTATTCTGACATAGGATGTTTGGAAATTTTGTTTTTGTCATTCAATTTGTAGGTCTCCATTTATCACTGTACTGAAAGTAGCAATGCAGTGAAAAGAAAGTTATACCACACTCTGGCTTCTCATCTTGCTGTCAAGCTTCAATAATACTTCGTCTCTGTGTCTTTGAAAAACTCAAACAAGCCACTGCAGTCTCATTAAATAAAGTAACTGCACGTTGGCATTAAGCATGTCAGTACCGAAACATGTTGATATTTTCAGTTTTACATAAGGACGGGCCTGAGTTGCAAAACTTGGATCTGAATTTCGAACACCCCATTGTTTGAGGCTTTTCCATGTCTCATGGTTTAGTCTTTGGATAGGTATGGGGAAGCTGTGAAATTTGGATTCTGAAGCCCTTCCCCAGTAAAGTTCCGGGGTACTCAGGTCAAGAGTTTTGGTTCAGACCCATCTCTAGTTTTCTATTACCTAATGAATGGATAGGGTATACGTAAATATATGTATCCTTTCACTGACCAAACAAAATGCTGCTATATACTGTTGTTGAGGAATCTATGGAGTTATGTGATTATTTTTTCAGCCTGTCATCCCTATATAGCAATTTAGGTACATGAATATTATTTTTTAAATGTCAAGTCTTTCTTGAGGTGGAGTGAATGCAACTGCAAAGTGTGAAAAGAAATAAGTAACCCTTCACCTCAAGAATGATCATATATTTCTCTGCTGTATTTATATTGTATGCTTGCACAAAATACACTGATATGTTTTTAGGTGGAATGAACAAGAACAGAATTTACAATTTGAATCCACTGTTCCAAATATTCATTGCCTAAGGCAATTATCCCCTAAATACTATAATAAAAACATGTTACTGTCTTTCAAGGTTTCTCAATCCATAAGATTATTTTGGTGTAGTTACTTATGTTTTGTCTTTTTTATTTTTTAAAATTTTTTCGTATAACTGTGCCACAGTTTGAGACTGGTTGCATGCATAGCTGAGAGTATATAGTATGATCATGGTCCAGACTCCCGATAGCACCTTATCTTAATGCTCGCTGATTTTCTTTATTTCCTAGTAAAGCTTTAAAGACATGCTCTGTAAGGCCAAGATTACAAAGGGGTTTGCAGATCACTACGTCTATTAAAATGTATGTTTTTGCAAAAAATCTAAGCACAGACCATATGGGCTTAATCCTAATCTCATTGATTTCAATGGAAAGAGAATCTGACCCATGACTTAAGATATTATCAAAATGTAACCCATGCTCCCTAAACTATTTACAGTGGAATGTGTGACCTAAACAGTGAACACAAAATGGGGAGGCAGCATGTTTCAATGGAAAGAGCACTGGACAGGGACTCTGGAGACCTGGGTTTTATTGTCAGTTGTGCCACGGACCTGCTATGTAATTTTTGGCAAGTCACTTTGCCTCTCTGTGCCTCAGTTTCCCCCAGGGGAATAATGGTACTTGCCTTCCTTGCGACAGTGGCTTGAGATATATATAATGACAAGCACGATATAGGAGCTAAGTAGGAGCCAGATTTGTGGACAGTTTCAATAAGCATACTAAGGCACATGAATTGTAAATTGTTGTTCACCATAATATTGATCCCTTATTGCTGAATGCTTTTTAAATGCATTGAAGTGCACAAACAAATCTAAAATTCTTTCATTGTTTGCTGGCCAAGTTAGGACAGCAACAGTTAAAATAAGCAATTTCTCCTCTCTGCTTTACCAAAGAGACTTTACTCTGAACATTCATGGATCATGCTTTTGGAATAGGTAGAAAATTCTGCAGGGATAATTCTGCTTTTAGAATCCTGACTTCCTCACATGCAGTCGAATACATTGCCACAAAATTTAAGGGGATCTTGAGAGGGGCACTGGGAGAAATATACTGGAAGCAGATTCCAATCTTCAGAAAGGAGAGGCCAGTGAGGTAATGCCTTGGGGGACAACTTCTGAAGCTTTCTGATGAGTTCAGGGTTTTGTTTAAGACTGCAAAGCTTCAATAAAAGGGGCTTGTGTGCTCCCTTATTACACATTTAATTAAATATAAAAGGAATATAGCAGTCTTGGGAGATAAGTGTTGCACTTTAACAGTGAACCTGGAGAGCAGGAATTGGTGATTCAAAATAGAAATTCACAGGATTTAAAGTGTATTTTTAGCCTCTAAAATGATAAAGTGTTGAAAGGCCCTGTATAGCTAGATACACCAGATGAGGATCTGGCTCATGATGGGAAGTCAGGGTGATTTACACTAGATGAGGATCTGGCTCAGAGAGTTATGAGTTTCTAGATTTGCATTCCTCTGTTATCAAGACTTTCCTTAGTGACTATAGCTTTAACCCCTAATCATGGTCAGACTTGCACATAAACTACCTGAATATTTGATGTCTGAGACAATGGATTAACTATGATTTCTCTTCTTAAATCTAATTTTAAATAAATATTTGCAATTCGAGGACTCCTAGCTGAGACCAGCTCTAAAGGTTCTGATCCTGCAAAGTGCCGAGCACTCAACCCTCACCGACATCAAGAGAGTTGAAGGTGCTTAGTCCCTTGCGAACTCAGACACAACACACACGAGTAGCATAGAGCCCAGACCCTGCTTAGAAGCTGCAAAAACAGACTATAAAGGACAAACAGTTCTACTAGGTTTAGGGTATAGATTATACATGTACAGACCTGATTCTCCACAGCCTTGCACTGTGCGTTGTCCTTTACACTCTACAACGTGGGTAGAAACCTATTGTTCTGATTTGGTGGCATTTTACACTCACTTTGTAGAGGTATAAATTACTATACATAGTGTAAGGCAATGGAAAAAATCAGACCCATTATAAATATATATATTTACAATACTCCCTGCATCTGTACAAACAAAAATATGATTTTATACTGCAAAGATAATGTGTTAAAATTAATGCATGAATGTACATATTCTGAGATCTGCCTTCTTGACTGTGTACCACATGTACAGAAGAAAACAAATATTGTTTATGGGAAATCTGTATCAGTGGTAAATGACTAAAGAGAAAAAAAAATCAGAATTAATGTTGTCATGTTTCTCAAACAAGCCATTAATGTATATTTAGAATTTAAGGATATTGCTCAATAAGTATGTTCTGTACCAAAAACTGTGTTGCATATACAGATTGTGCAGTACCCTATTTAAAAAGGCACCATAATTAATTTTTATTTTAAATAAAAATGTACTTATAAGAGTTTCCTGCGTCTTGTCATTTGAGTAGCTGAGAATCTATATGCATCAAAGGGAAACAGAAAAACAGAATGAAATAAGTACGTTTTTAAGGGCTTTTCTAATGTCACCTGTATTAACTACAATTGTTTAAAAATATAGTGCCTTATGATTTCAAAACAAATTGTGGCTATTGTCCACATCCTGTATTTAGCTGAGTTCCAGTTACATCCTCTTCACCAGAGCTTCCTAGACATGGATACATGTACTGCATCAGCCAAAATCTCGATACCAGATGCTTAGTACTGAAATCACCCTCCCTTGCCTTAATGATGAACCCACAGTGCGACTTCTGTGCTGGACTTCACCTTTCAACTCTACACACTCTAATCCCCAACAGATCTTAGACTAAGAGGCTGCAGGATGCATACGAATGGGAACCAGGAACTCGTTACATTTTTGGTTTCAGGGAAAAGTGGCGAAGAAGTAACTTTTTGGTAGAGCCAAGCAATGAAACTAGTAAAATATTGCAGCTGCCCGAAAAGGGTTAAAAGCACCTGGCATTTTCTATCTATTAGGCTCAATGGTATCATATATGGGGGAAAATATGAATAAATTCAACTGAATTTCTCTAACTTGCCTAATAAAAAAAATGAGGAGCCCTTGTGGC